TCTAGGTTTTGGGTTTAAGGGTTTGGGGGTTTCGGGGTTTTGGGGGGTTAGGGTTTCGGGCTTATAGGGTTTATAGGGTTTAGGGGTTTAGGGGTTTAGGGCTTTAGGGTTTAGGGGTTTAGGTTTTGTTTTAAGTGTATTGGCGCCCCTTTCTGCGAGAAGCTCCAGCCTGTACGGGCCTACACTGGGGTGAAACTATTGTTGAACTGCTCCCGGGCCGTGCAATCTGAGAAGTAGTCGGGGCCAGGTGAAGGATCATGTAACCGTAGGTCACGTCCACCCCATTCAACACCCCACCAAGTAGTTTCCCACACCTCACCATGCAACATCCCCCCTTGGAAACAACTATGCATGATCTTCATCTTCTCCAGGTTAAACCCTAAACCCTAAACCCTAAAGCCTAAACCCTAAACCCTAAACCCTAAACCCTAAACCCTAAACCCTAAACCCTAAACCGTTCACCTTCAGACTCGACCTCCTCTGCAGGCTGCTCACGCAGGTTCGACTCCTCCTCCTCTTCTTCATCTTCCGGTTTAGGGTTTAGGGTTTAGGGTTTAGGGTTTAGGGTATCCATCTCCATCCCAGCATCAGCTCCTGTAGGTACATTGACCGTCGGCGTTTAGGCTTAGGACTCCGGGTTTAGGGTTTAGGGTTTAGGATTCAGGGTTTAGGTGTTTAGGGTTCCATGGTTGAGGGGTTTAGGTGTTTAGGGCTTCAGGGTTGAGGGGTTCAGGGGTTCAGGAGTTTAGGGTTCAAGGGTTGAGGGGTTTAGGGTTCAAGAGGCATTTAGGTTTAGGATTCAGGGTTTAGGAGTTTAATGTGGGGGCTTCAAAAATTAGAATAGGGTTTTGGGTATGTTTAAAGTCACACTATAACTTTGATAAGGAACCCCGAAAAAAAGGATTGCTAATTATTTAGGCTCCTGTAGTAGGGCGTAAGGGTTCAGAGGTTTGAGGGTTTAGGGTCTACGTAGGGTTTCGGGTTCAGGGCCCAGGGTTCCTGAATGATCTGCGACACCCTAAACCCTAAACCCCAAACCCTAAACCCTAAACCCTAAACCCTAAACCCTAAACCCTAATCTCAGCCCCCGACGATTCCGGCAGCGAGGACACGCTCCCTGGCCTCCTGCTGATTCTTCGCCTGTACAGCTGCCCAGAGACTCCAATATCCTTTAATTAAGGAATATACCTTAAATTGTAGTAGGATCCCTAATATGATCTAAGGTATATTCCTTAATTAAGGGATATTGGAGTCTCTGGGTGAGGCACCAAAGCTGCGAGCTTTCCTGAAATAAATACCCAAACTTTTAGGATCCCTAAACCCTAAACCCTAAACCCCTAAACCCTAAACCCTAAACGCTTTACCCTAAACCCTAACAAACCCCCAAACTTCCTAAACCCCTAAACCCCTAAACCTCTAAACCCTGAACCCTAAACCCAAACTCTTAGGACCCACATCTTCTATCCCGGACCCTGAACCCAAAAGCGGCCTCAAATTATATAAAGACCCACGGAGGCCTCATTTGGCCTAGGCTTGGCATTGAATCTAAGGACTTTAGGAGGGACCCCTAATCGGTTTAGGGTTTAGGGTTTAGGGCTTACCCCTAATAGGGACCTTTAATCCCATTAACTTAAATAACCATTGTATAGTCCTTATATAGCCAGGTAGTCTCCATATTATATAACCCTAAACCCTAAA